TCGCATATAATATTAATATATTTAGATATATACATGTGGTAGTAGTGTAGTGGTAGAGCGCTCGTTTCATAAACGAGTGGTTCCGAGTTTGATCCCCACCATGTCCCTGGTAGTACCGCGCTCAACTCGTTTCTCCGCGCAGCGGCCTTGTTAGTCAAGGTTCATGTTTTGGAGTTATAGAGTTGAGAGAGGATTATAACCACAAATAAGTAGCCTCCTCGTCTGTAGTGGCCTTCTTGGCCTTGAGGAGGTGAATTAAATTTAAAAAAAACAAAAAAAAACATGGGTGACATATAGGTAGCATTTCCAGGTGTGAGTAATAGATGAGATTGTACTTCTTTTCCCCCACATTGCGCAATAAGCTCTATTAATTCTTTAAAGTTATGAGTATGAGCCCAATTCTTCATAATAAGTAAGTGAGTTACGCGAAAAAAAGACTTCAGAACAAATCTTGTTTTTGAATCTCTAACATTTTTTTGTGCAAGATTATTTTCACGAATCATTTTCCAAACATCTGTGTCTCTTTTACTCAACTTTTGGAATGTTTGTTTGTTTTTTATTGCATTTTTATGTCGAACCGATGATAAATGGGCAGATGAACGTTCAACTGGATGATCTGCAAACATTCCTGGCTTTTCAATAAAAGCCCTTGAACCACCATGAGCGGCAAATAATGTGCACGTTTTACAAAACCAACCATTTAACGCTGACGAAAAATAAAAATCGGTAAAAAGTCTCTCGTACTTTTCAGTCGACTTCAAACGTAAATCAAGTTTTGGTTTCTTAGTTAACAATTCATTTTTTGTAACATTAGGATCTACCTGGAGTTTATAATAAAAATAAAATATGATTTGGGAGTTTTTAATTTTTACTATTTACGAGTCGTCTACAAAAAGTGTTGTTACGCTGAATTTACCTAATAGCTAGAAGTAAGATATTAATGGCTCTTGTGTGCAGAGATTTTTAAAGTAATATAGCGATTTATGAAAGCCTCCTCGAAAAAGAGCCAATGATCTTCTACTTATTATTATTTAAAAAGACGTCCTTTGTGGACAAATCCTTACACTAAAATGTAATAGATTGTGTCATCAAAAGGAATGTTTTAATAATAAAAAAATAGAAAAAGTTGCAAAAATATTAAACACGAGCTAGTAAATTTCATAATTCACATTTATTGCGAGTTCAATTTTATAATTATACATAATTATACATGTTATACGTAAATGGCATAGCAAAAAAAAGTCTCACCAAAAACAATAACAAAATGTTTAATTACAAAAGAATGTTGGTGCCAAGGATTTCATTATATCGTTGCAGCAAATAACACTAATAATTATTTTTTCATTCATAGTCATAAAATGTTATAAAATTTTCATTCAAACATTTGCTTTTACATGGTTCATTCAAACATTTACTTTTACATTTTAAATTCAAGCAAGCGGTGAATTTAGTTTTTTTGTTATTTAAACTTTTCGTATCAGTTTGTTATAATAAAAAAACGTTCTTGTTATTAAAAGTATTAAAGTTAGGTTTTAATATACGTATTTAATTTATGTTTTAAATACAAGCAAGCAGTAAAATAAAGAAATATAATTTCCTCGTTAAACAATTTTTAGTAACAGTTTGTTATAATTATATTACATTTTTTGTATTTATTATTTATTCCAAAAAAATTATAGTCAATACAATCACGTAATTCAGTTGATATAAAATACCAAAAAAAAATAAAAAATAAAACATTAACTAAAAGACTTGCCGTAACATTCGCATTGATCGAAATTTCGAAATTATCTGACATAAACGGGTTCTCGGTATTTTGAATCAAACTTTTGAATTTTGAATTTTCAGCCAAAACAAGCGAAGCTTTTAAAGAAATAGCATTTTCAGGATTGAAACCAAACAAATTTGTTATTTTTTTAGGTTGCACTTTGTTTCTAGCTAACTTTTTTATATAATATTTGCTGTTGTTGGAAGGCATTGCAGAGAATGATATGTAAATTTTGACAAATTAATTTTACAAGCAAGTTACCAAGGAAATCCCTGAAATCGTTTGGAAAATCCCAATTCTCAGAAATTTTCTCTCAAGAGACATTTTCACAGTTGAGCAATCGCGTTATTATACCTTCGACCGTATAAACTGAGTTTATATGGTCTATAATATAAGAATTATACTAATAACGGCGATTTTATTTCTTTAAATATTTAATAATACTTAATTTTCGATAAACTTTAGAGTTATTATTAAACTCTAATTAGGGTTTGGCAAAATTTATTTAAAGAATTTTTATTTTATTTTTACCTTTAAATAGGATTTTTAATTTTATGACTGTTTGGGAATACCACATTTGACGGGGCGCCACAGGGCTAGTTTACACCCTGATATATATATATATATATATATATATATTATATATATATATATATATATATATCCTTATAGTGTAGTCAAAAGAGACTTTTATGGTAAAAAAGTCTCTTTTGACTACAATTTTTTTACCTTGTCTCTTAAGCTGCATTTTATTGTCGTCGAAATGTCAAACCAATTAAATTAATGCGGAGGTACATTAAATTTTTTTGTTTTTTAAAAAAACCGCAATAAAAATGACTAGAAAGTTTTTTGTAATTAGTGGTGTTTTTTTATTGTTTTATTAAAAAACATTTTTAAAACATGCGTAAGTGTTGCTCGACTTCGACTATTTTATAGCCTGCTGCTACAAGGGAGTGTTGCTACATCGACTATCTTATAGCCTGACTTGCAACGGAGTGCTGCTACATCGACAGACAAATATATATATATATATATATATATATATATATATATATATATATATATATATATATATATATATATATATATATATATATATATATATATATATATATATATATATATATATATATATATATATATATATATATATATTTAGTCGTAGCAGAACCTTTATGTATAAAAGGTTTTTTTCGCAATATTAGTTGAAATAAAAGTTGTTTTTATTCTCTATTTAAATCAGTTTTAATCACATTTTCATCACATTATTATTATATTATGCATTTAATATTTATATGTTTGTATGGATTTAAATGAAGGTTGTTTTTTTATTTAACAAATGCTAGTGTGATCAACATGAAAAGAAATTGTTCAGTACCACATTGATAAACGCCTTGAAGAACACATTGCTGCCTACTTCGCAATTTTTTGTTGAGCACAGTTATAATGCAGCTCAGAAATGAAAAGCATCTTACTTCAAAAAGAAATTCAAAGGTATAACTTTTTTATCAACAGCTATTTACCTCCTAGAGTCAAGCAATAGCAAACGTTTCTAAAGTAAGTACTGCAAGTTAGTCAAACTTGATTGATTATAGTTCAACTTATCTTATACTAATTGTTTTCAATCATCTTTTTAAGGTTATACAAAAAAATATCACTGTAAGGCCTGTGTAAAGAGAATCAATAGTCATTTTAGAAATATTCTAAAATGACCAAGAATCTGGATTTAATTGACTCACTACAATGTTAGTGAATGACCAGTTTCTTAAAATAATCAAGTATCCATTTTTATAATAATGATGGGCAATCTTTAAAGCCAATGCACAGTGGACCAATAGGTGGACAAAACCAAAAAAAAATCATTTTTAGGATCAACATGGTTAGAACCCTAGAACTGAAAAAGGATTATGATGATCTTAAATCTGAGATAAGCAAGGCACTTGAGGAGATGAAATCACAGATAGCAGTACTGTCTCATGACAACATGAAACTTAGAATTAAAAATGTAAAACAGGTTGATAGGCTAGACAAGTTTAAAACCAATCTTTTTTAAACATCATTAACAAGTAAAAAGTTATTCTCAGTGGTTGCATTAGATGCAACTCAATCCATTAATGTAGATGAAGTCAACATTTTAAATGCAATTAGTAAAAAAACAAAGGACAAAAAAAAGAAAGAAAGAAATGTAATCATATTTAGGATCCCGGAATCAACCAAATTAATGGAAAATAAATAGAGTGTTTGACTGTTTGAACCTTAAGAATAGCAAAAAAGATTCACAGGTTATAATCAGTGAATAAACCAAGTCCAATGATTATCGAATTAAAGAGAGCACAGAATACTAGGAAATGGTGTTAAAAGAAGCAAAAAAAGCTGAAAGACAGCATTCATTACCAACATACAGTTTACATTAATCATGATTTGACACATGCTCAACAGATTGTACAAAAGCAAGTTGCAGATGAGCAAAACTGCTTGAATGCTTCTCTTTTTAATAATATTTAATTTAATATTTTTTTTAAATTTAATTACATTTTTGTTTTTTTTAATATTTAAATAAAATCTTAATTCTTATTATTAGTATTTTAGTGGTCATTCATTAAACTTTTTTTCACCAAATAATGGACAACTGAATATCATAGCGAACTCAAGTAAGATATATACAGTATTTCAGTCACTTGCAAGGTGACTAGTAAAAACCAGAGATTCCACCCCTGTGTATGTATGTATGTATGTATGTATGTATGTATGTATGTATGTATGTATGTATGTATGTATGTATGTATGTATGTATGTATGTATGTATGTATGTATGTATTTATGTATGTATGTATGTATGTATGTATGTATGTATGTATGTATGTATGTATGTATGTATGTATGTATGTATGTATGAATGTATGTATGCATGCATCTATATATGTAGGTTTGCAACTTATCTTTTATATTCAATGTTTTTTAAACTATCCATACACACTGCATACAAAGGATATACATGGAGTTTTCAGTATACTTTATATTTATAACTATTTGAACTGTTTCTTGTAACCATTAAAAAGTAAATACATTAATATTTGCTTACTTATTTAGTTTAACATCCATGTTTCCATATTATCAAATTTATCAAAACCAAAACAACATCAAACACTTGCCTACCTTACTTGAATGATTCGGGAAAGAGGAATATTCAGACCTGAATAGATAATAAATTCAAGTTATTTTTAACACATACCTTTCGCATCCAAAAGCATGTAAGTCACTTCATCAATAGAACCTTTTAAAGGACTAAAAACTACTGGAAACTGAATCCATGTGGAGGTGACTTTAAAGGCATTAAAGATATTTGACAGAGATATTCGTACTGTTGTACCATCACTAGCCTGAACATCAAAGTGAATTGAAAAGAACTTTCCAACAACAGGTTTAAACAAAACATATAGAAAGCGACCATGAAGACCAAGTGATGATGAAAAAGATTTGGGGAAATTTATGAAATTCCTAGAAGGTAAAGACCCACAAATACGATAAACTGAACCTTTGACTGCACGATCCTAGATTAAAAAACGAAAAATATTAACAACAAATTTTGAAAAAAAACAATTTAAAAAGTTAATATACAATAACTCCATTCATTTTACTTCTATTGTAATTATGTATCCAGCAAGTTTCTTATAACAATAATAATTTAGTTGATATATATATATATATATATATATATATATATATATATATATATATATATATATATATATATATATATATATATATATATATATATATATATATATGCATAATAAAATATATAATACATGTACATGTTTTGTTTTTTTATAAGCATATGAAATTTTTGAAACAGGCTCGGGTATGCTTAAGCAAAATGTTAAAAGAGACTCAAAAATATGCTTAAACTTTAGCATATTTCTAATAAAATAATCATATTTCAATACTTTCTAAAAGTGCGTACGTTACTAAATGTTAATGGTTATAAGAAAAATAAAAAGTTGACTTTTGTACAGTATAATAAAAAATATAAAATATATACTATATACAAATGTTATCAATGAAATCAAAGATATGAACTTCGCATTCCTTTTCGTCCGAACCCATAAAGGTGTCATCTGGAAGAATTTTGTTGGCATCTTTATTTATAGCATCATTTACCTCCACCAGTTGAATAACACTTTTTTGAATATCACTGAATTTCCCTTGGGTTGATCACTGTCAGGATCAATGATGGCTGGTGGGGGCACTTTATAACTATTAAAGCCCTCTGGTTTAATAAGCGAATCTTCTGAGCCATCAAAAGTCATTTAACACCCAGCCATCATTCAAGATTTTTTCTTTTGCTTGTCATACTTAGAAGTGTTTAAAGCTTTCCATGCTTCCCCTGCCCAATGTGTAATCAAAATTTGTCTCTCTTTTGCAGTGTAGGGCATTTCATTACTGAACCATCTATCAGAATGATTATCTCTATCAAGCTATTTTTGATGTTCAATGGCAATAAGCCTTTTCAGAGTGGCAGCATATCCTGCATCAACTGGTTGCCAAAGGTCAGTGGCACTTGGTAGACCGTACCAGAGAAGTCCTTTAGCAGCAGCAACAGCATCTTTAAAATCCTTCTGCATCTGTCCCTTCAAATTGTCCAGCAAAAAAACAAATTTATCAAGCTTTTGTTCTCTGACAAATGGAAGGAGTGTTTTATCACACCAGTGCTTAAGTAAACGTGAATATCTTTGTGCCATGCTATCTTTTCGTCTTTTGAAATGCATTTTCCTTGAACTCTAAAAATGATGGTTAGCTTTGGTTGCTCTCCTTCTGGCCAAAACATAATTTGAAGAGAACATTGCCTTTTTTCCAATCCTGCGCCCGGTTGTGAGATCCAAGTATTATGTGTTGCACCTTGACCTTTGGGAACATACTCGTAAGTTTTCTTACCATGAACAACAAAGGTAAGTGGCCTCTGGTCAACGTTGAACCTGTTCTGATACATTTTTCTCTGTATGTCGCATGCCATTTCTGTAATAATGGTTCCATTTATTTTTTATTTTTCCTTTTGTTTCTTTGTTTCGATCTCATTTTTAACTCCTTTTTTTGTAAAAATAGAACTATAACATGATGTTTTATTACCACGTTTGGATAAATGTTTAATTGTATATTTCTAGCTTTACTCCAAAGCCAGGAAAAGTTAACAATATGACCTTTCGATCTGGCTTGTAAAAATTCTTTGTAAAGAATTTTGTATAGTTCAAGATACTTTGTGGAACGTCTTCCCTTCAGAAACAATTTGCAACAAAATGATTTGGCATCTTTAGTAACAGTTTCTTTTTTTAAGCCATCGCAAAATCTGACTTTGTGTTACATCAAACGATTCTGCTAAAGTATCTTGATTTGCCTCATAACCATAGGCGTTAATTGCCTCTGCTTTAAAGGCAGAAGTATATTGGTGGCGTTTCTTACCAGCTAATCTGCTAACCTCTTCACTTTTTTTTTATGGCACTAACAACTTTGTTGACAATGTTATAAAGTACATCTTTAACTGCTAGAGTGACAAATTCTTCGTTACTTTGAAGAACTTGTGATTGTGAATGTTTACAATCTTGTTTGCTAATTTTGTGCATAACTTTAACATGAAAAACTAGTCCTTGTTGACTTTTGAATAACTTTTTGCAATGTTTGCATTCAACACTAGTTTCGATAGCTTCTAATGGCAATTGGATTGCACTCATTTCTCTTCTGTGCATAACATTTTTTTGTGTAATTAAACTCTGCCAATGTAGGCTGCTTTCTCTTTATCTTCTTTGACATTGTTATTACTATTTTTAACAGTATCTGAAAATAAGATTTAAAAATAAAATATACATTTTGAATATGGTATTAAAGAAACTACATATTAAGAGCGACAAAGAAAAAAAAAGAGAGAGAAATAAAACACTGCAGAGCGACTCTTTAACTTTATGCTTTTCTGGTCAAGTATTGAGGTTTAGATTTAGCATTACAATGACTTCTTTACTTCATAAATTTGTTGCACTGCAAAACATAAACTTCAATTTTTGTTGTTTTTGTAGGTTTAAATTTAGAAATATATATATTTAAATTTTTAATTAAATAAAATTTAAATCTTTTAAATGGTTTATCAAAAAATACTTTAAAATGAGTTTACTGTAGGTACATCAATTACATCATGCTTAGGGATGGCAATCCCGGGATCCCGAAATCCCGGGATTTCATACAAATTATTCATCCTGTAATCCCGAGATAATTCACTGAAATTTCCCGGGATTTCGGGATCGTCAAAAAAAGTAAAATTTAATAAAGTTTAAGCTTATAATTGCAACTAAATAATTTGTACATCGTTTTTGGAATAGTAGCTGTTTGGTTGTGTAACTATTCTATTTGCAATTTCCTTTTAAAACACTCTCTCTATTTTATTAAAAATAAAGACTCAAAAAAGTTTTGGCTTATCTGCAAAATATGTACGATCAAATATAATATAATATTATACTATATATACAGGGTGGTCGATAAGTAAGTATAATTTCTTTTCTTTGTTCATTACAGTGTTTTTTCTTTCACAGATCATCTACTGTATTTTGTTTTTGAATTAAAATTTATTCTACTGTATTTCTACATTGTTTATTTTTGAATTTTAGGTATAACGAAAGTTTCGCGGCATCGAAGTGCTATTATAAATTTGTGCCGATCAGGAATGAAAGCAGCTGAATCGCAACAAGGCTCAAATGCTCAATTCTCAAAAACTCAAAAAATTGGTCTACAAAGTTCTGGCGCAATGGAGAAAGATGGGTGACATACAGGAGAAGAAAAAAGAAGGCGGCCCAAGAACTGTGAACACTCGGAAGGCTCGAGGAATAATCAAGAAGCGCATCACCAGAAATTATGGTGTGAGCCTTAATAAGATGGCAAAAAGTCTCAGAATGGCTCAATCGACACTTCAAGCGAATTTGCATGATGATCTTGGACTCAAAAGCTATAAACTTTTGAACGGACAACAGCTAACAGATCAAGCAAAACAAAAACGCCTCGAAAAGTGCCAGGAATTGAAGAAGTTTTTTCGAGTGCGCTGTTTTGAGGATGTCTTATGGTCGGATGAAAAAGTTTTCACCATTGAAGTTGCCAAGAACTCTCAAAATCACCGACAACTCTTTTCACCAGGTCTAAAAAACAGCCACAGAAGAAAAGTTGCAACAAAGACGCTGTTTCCAAAAAGTTGTGGTGGTGTGGGGAGGAGTCTCGGCAAACGGCACAACGATGCTGATTTTTATCAACAAAAGCATTAAGATTAACGCCAAAACTTACCAAGATGAGATTATCAAGAAGGTCGTCATTCCATGGAAGCAAAAAAACCCAGGAATGACAAAACCTTTTTAGTAGTAGTAAGCCAAGGTCTGTTTACTGGAGAATTATTTTTCTGATAGAAATTGCAGCAGTACAATAAGAGGAAAACCATGGAGAAGAGTGAGAATTGACTTGGAGTTGTTGAGAGGGAATAAATAATTTTATGTCAGCCTGAATCCAAGAAGTTACATAAGAAGCACATTTGTCAGGAAAAAAGATTTCTACTCTAAGGCCATCACAAAGAAAATCATAGGAAGAGTCTCAGTCAGGTTTAAGGTAGTTGTATAAGGTACAATGGAAAAGATTGTGATAATTGTTTTAGAGAGATCAAACCGTGAGCAGAAGCACTTAAGGGTAAATGTGGAGAAATTGAGCACTGACTAGAATCAGAAACAAGACACAGTTGGAGTAGAGAAGATAAATGATTTGGATTGTTTGGAAAGTGTGTTGAAACTATTTGTGTGAAAGATTGAGAAAGGCATAAGTGGTGGGCCTTAACGCCTGCAAAGTCACTGACACTTCTCCTGCCCAATGTGTAATCAAAATTTGAGTCTTTTGTGCAGTGTAGGGCAATTCATTAATGAACCAAACATCTGAATGATAATCTGGATCCAACGTTTTTTGATGTTAAATGAAAATGAGCCTTTTCAGAATGGCAGGTTCCTTGACCTTTTGGAACATATTTTTTTTTTTTCCAACAGACAACAAAGGGGAGTAGTTGTCTAAGGTACAATGAAAAAGATTGTGATAATTGTTTTAGAGAGATCAAACCGTGAGCAGAAGCACTTAAGGGTAAATGTGGAGAAATTGAGCACTGACTAGAATCAGAAACAAGACACAGTTGGAGTAGAGAAGGTAAATGATTTGGATTGTTTGGAAAGCGTGTTGGAACTATTTGTGTGAAAGATTGAGAAAGGCATAAGTGGTGGGCCTTAACGCCAGCAAAATCACTGACACAAGAGCCAAGCCATTCAGTGTGATGAGCATTAAAGTCACCAACAACAACGATGTTGGCTGAAGGATAAAAAGAAAGGGCTTGGTCAATTTCATCAGAATTAACATCAAAAAGAATGCAGTCTTAAAATAAAGGAGAGCGATATAGAACAAATAGAAAGACAATAGAGTGAAGTGGTGCTAAATGAAAGTACACAAAAGAATAGTGAATCCACATTCAAACCTAGTTTATGTGCTTACCCTTTAAATCTTTGCCTAGGAGGTCTTCTATAAGACAATAGCAAGATGCAATTAACATCTGCCAAATATGAGTATTTTTATTGAGACACTACCTCTAGCCTTTACTCTAGCAGGAGCCCCAAGAAAGGGGGTGTTTCAAGTCGCAGGTGACTTCTTCTTTAAGACAGCAGGACATGAAGCAGGTTGTACTGGGTTACATGTTACCAGTAGCAGGATAACCTGACCTGACAGACATTCATAACTTGAATGACATGATAGACATTCACAACTTGATCTGACAGACAAAAATAAGTCTAAAAGCAGTCAGAATATAAAGAGCGAGATTGTTTAAGCTTTTTAGTGATTTTTCTTATTTGTCACTTGCTAAGTCAAATGCAATGATAGTGCAACAGCAAACATCCATTTTTAAATTTGTTACTACAACAACAAGTAACCAGAATGATAAGCTGGATTTGCAAGTTACAAGTTACACTTGCAAGTTGCAAAAAATTGCATTTTACTAATTTACTCAGGAAGAACATTGGATATAGAAGAAGCTGTATGTTTCTCTCAACATATTTATTTAATGATAGTGTAAAAGCCCAACATCAACAACAAAACTAATGAAGTGTTTTAAAAATAAAAAAATTTAAGTCTTTAATTTTTATAGCAGATGCACACTTGTTCAGCTATAACTGGATCCATTGAAAGATTTTCTCATCCTTTAGCATTATAGAGAGAAAAAGCTGAAAAATTTGTATGAATTTACAAACATTTAAGATGAAGATGCACAAAATACTGATGACTAAATTGTTAGATGACTTTGTTTTAAATTTTAAAGTTTAAATATTACTGCTCGAAGTAAAAAAAAACTCTCATTTATGACTCAAATAATTCCTTACTTGATTATCCTTAAAACAATTTCTGAGCAGTATTTAATCTTATGGTTAAATCTTTTTGCTAATGAAAATTAATTTATGACAAAAATATAAATCAAATTTGAGACCAAAAACCCATAAAGCTGAGATTTTGATGAGTTTTTGCTGCTGGGTTTTTGAGTTTGGGTTTTGGGTATCAATCCTGTGTTAAATCATTTTTGTTAACAACTAGCTAGTAGCAAGGTTACCATGTTTACAGAAATGTTTCTAACCAGCATTTGTGAACATCAGGAAAAAAGGATCCTGCTCAACATCAGGGTTGGCATTAAAAATCCACCTAAAAATACCCACCCAATAAAACCTACCTGAAAAAACCCAATAAAACCAAGGAAAATTTGGGTTTTATTAAGTTTTTTTAAAGATATTAAATAAGTTTATGAATATCATTAACTAAAATAATTATTAACTATTATTATTAACTAAATTATTATTAACTATTATTACAAACTATTATAACCAACAATATCAGGTATCAGAGCAGGTTTACTAATATTCGAATCATTATTTGGAAATACATTATTACAAGTTTTATTTATATATTTTTATTGATTGAGATTTTTTAATATTATATGTTATTCACCTCCCAAGCTGAATTTAAATGAGTAGTAGTGGCCAGAGAAGATCACTACAGCCAAGGAGGCTACCTTATTGTGGTTACAACCCTCTCTCATCTCTTTAACTCCTAAAGATGAATCTTTATAAACAAGGCCACTGTGCAGAGAAACAAGTTTGTTCATTTGAATTTCAAGTTCAAAGTTTAATTTAAACTTCAGTTACTACCTCCCATTTTCTAGCCTTCTTTTTTCCATTTCTTACTGACATTTTTAGTTATATAGAGTAAAACTTTTAAATTTAAAATAAATCAAGACATATAGATTTAAGGTGTAGTTTTTTTTCTATTACAGTTTTAAATTATATTTAAAGATCTTTTTCAAAATTATTTGAAAAATTCTTGTTATAAATTATTAAATAACAATATATAAAATATATTTTAAATAAACTTAAACTAGAAAATTAAACAAATTTTCAATATCATTAAACAAAAAAACAAAAAATTTTTTACAGAGACAAAATAAAAATAAAACCCAAAAAAATCCAAATTTACCCTATAAAACCCAAAATTACTCAAAAAAACCCACTGGGTTAGGTTTTTTTAAAAAAACCCAGGTTTTTGCCAAACCTGCTCAACATCAAACTTATAACAATTATTAATTTTGCATCATGGATTACCTAACTATATTAAAAATCAGAATAAAAGAAAAATAAAGTACCATGACTTTGGTGACATCTCCTTCCATCATGCACTTTTTCCATTCTCCAACACCGTAGTATTTAAAGAAATTTACAAAAGGTTCTTGCCACACTATAAAATTTTAAATTACCAAATACAATAAACTGTCACATTTAAAACGAAGACCAAAAGGTAAGAAAAATTGTTTACAATACATTTTGTTAACTGTTGGTAACTTGTAACAATAATATTTCATAATACACAAGAAACTACTTAAATATATGTTGTTGTCTTTTAATAGCAATTTAAATTTTTGAAACTGGCTTATGCTTATGCAAAATGCTCAAAGAGGCTCAAAATTATGCTTAAGCTTTAAAATATTTCTAATAAGAAATGATTTATTTTATTTTAATGCTTTTTTTTTTTCACCTTCTTAAACTTAATCTATGGCATTTGTACTATTATTGTGTCCCATGCATTTTATTGGTGAATAAAGTTTCAAAGAACTTTAAAAGTTGTGTACGTTTCTGGAGTTATTTGATTATACTTATCTATTAAGTATAATCAAATATTATACCTAATAGATAAATATTATCAAATAATGTAATAATATAATATTACTATTTTAAAAAAATTAATACTATAAATTTTTTAAAGATTTGTTAGCAAAGTCTCTTTTAAAATATTTCAAATCTATTTGCGTCATGGTAACCATTAAGGTATGCAAAACTCAAAAAAAAACTGCTAAAATTTGTTTTGTCAGGATGTGCATTGCAATTGCTATCTTTTCACCATTTTACGTGGTTATAAAGTGGTTATGTTTTTTATTATTTTATTTTGGTTTTTAACTTGAGTGTATTTTTTTTATTTGGAAATATCCCCTCATTTTTTGAATATTTTAACAAATTTTCGGTTGATTGTCCACGCAATTTAGCAAAGTGTGTCACCGTGGAATAGGTTTTCATCAGAAGTTTTATAGTTAGATGAGATTGTGATTGGGAAGAAATTGGTTGTTATATAAAGCGAAATTAGATTTACTTTTGAAAAAAGACATTTTAACTCTAAAATTATTTATTTTATATTATTTATTATTGTGATTAAGTTTTATACGTTTTTGAAAACTAACTTTAGTCATTTGAGAATTTATTTTTATTTAACTAAAAAATGATTTATTCAAATGCTAATTTCAATACTTTTGAAAAATTAATAACACACACATTTTTGAAAAATTTTAAAATCTGTTTCAAAAATAACAATGTTGTAATACAACAATCAAAAAAAACACCTATAAACATTAATAAACTATATACAAATGTTATCAATAAAATCAAAGATATGAACTTCGTTTTCGTTCTCCTGGGACCAAATAAGGTGTCATCTAGACAAATTTCATTGGCATCTTCACTTATAGCATCATCCACTTTAACCGGTTGAAAATCACTGTGATTTCCTTAGGGTTGATCACTGGCAGGTTTTATTATATATGGCGCATTGTAATTATTAAGGCTCTCCGGTTTGATAAGTAAATCATCCAAACCATCAGAAGTTATTAAGCTCCCAGTCATTGTCCAGCATTCCCTTCTTTGTTTATCATACTTAGAAGAGCAGGAGAAGCATTTTTCCATGCTTCTCCTGCCCAATGTGTAATCAAAATTTGTGTGTCTTGTGCAGTGTATGGCAATTCATTAATGAACCAAACATCTGAATGATAATCTGTATCCAACGTTTTTTGATGTTAAATGACAATGAGCCTTTTCAGAATGGCAGGTTCCTTGACCTTTAGGAACATATTCTTATTATTTTTTATTTTTTTACAACAGACAACAAAGGGGAGTAGGCTCTGGTAAATATTGAACCTTTGGTACCTTTGGTAGGTTGGTAGCATCCCCATTTGCTGTCATAACTTGGATCTCATTTCAGTAATGATGGTTACATTTCTTTCTTATTAGTAAACGATCGGGGTTGATATTTGACAGGGGCCAGGGCCGAGTTTAATAAAATATAGCAGGGGCCGGGTTTGTGACCAGGGTTGCAATAATGATGATTATCACTATTGCAACCCATCAGCATCATCATTATCATCATGATCATAATCATCATCATTAACAGCATAAAATAGGAATGCTAAAGCCTGATGATGATGATAATCATTATCATCATCATTATCATCATCATCATCATCATCATCATCATCATCAGCTTCCAAACATTTAGCCTTCCTTTTTTATGCTGTTTCTCTAATATAAACAATCTAGAACTTTTTTTATTTTAACTAAAGCTCATTCATACAATATGTAAGGCACTCTCTTCAAGTTTCCTTACTACCACTACCTTTTTCTACTGAAGCTGGTACCTCTCTACATGCTGATGCCTAAATTACTTTAATCTTTGTTTAACGTTGCTAACACAATGTTTTTTCGAATCTGTCTATAATTATGCCTACTTTTTTTGTCTTCCTTGAGTCACACCACACATCCATCTGATCATCTTTTCTATTGGCAAATACTATTCCTATAAATACTAAAGTTTATATAACAATAAAAGAATATTGTATGCCTGCATCTATATAAATAGTAAACAGATATGGTTAAATCCATAATATGTATAAATGTATAAGTGCATCTTGGAAGCTTTTATTCCTTTTGGAATAAATGTTTGGAAGTTTTTATTACTTCTCTTTAACTTTAAGCCTCATTCTACTCCACATTTTGAGCAGTTGCTTATTAAACATTAGTAATTTTTTTTATCTTTTTTACAAGAACATCTCTTTTAAGAACAAATTTCCTTTCATTATTGCAAAAAGCTAATGTAAAAAGTCCTGTCTGATGTTAAGCTCTGTTATTCTCAGTTTACTAAATCTTGTATCTTATCTCAGATGTTGGGTTCCAGAGACTTTTGGTCAGTTTTCAACAGTGGCATTAACTAATGTAAGTCTAAGATTTAATCTCTAGTTCAATTGTGTGATCATTTTACTTCTCCCCAGAATAAAGCAGAGTTTTTTGCAAAGTAATCATAACCTTATTTGACTCTTGCAGGGTGGTTACTCAAATTTGAAAATAAAATTCCATGACTTTTCCATGACTTTTCCATGACATTTCCATGACATTTCCATGACATTTCCATGACATTTCCATGACATTTCCATGACATTTCCATGACTCTTCATAAACTTTTATGATAAATCACTAGAGTGAAATATTACTTGTCACGCGCTATTATATTCAGTACTTGTCATGCATTAAGCATTTGCAACTTGATCATTATAAAACATGCAAACCAAAAACTAATTGGTAGAAAGTTCTGGTATCATGTCTGAAAAAATATCTTTTTCTTCTACTTCTCTTATAACTTAAACTGCAAAAATATCTTTTTCAAAAAAAAATTTAGACTAGATATACTAGTACTTTTCTTTGTATCCTAAAAACATCACAAGTAGAAAAAAATAAAGATCATTTTAAAAAGTTCCATGAATTTTCCATGACTTTCAATAAAACTTTAGGAATTCCATTACTTTTTCCATGACCAAATAAAATTACATGATATTTCCATGATTTCCATGACCAGTGGCCACCCTGTCTTGAATATAATGGCTGTACTCTTCCTGACATTTGAACAAATTATTCCATTGTTATCCAAAACACTCTGGCTTCCAATGCTAAAGTTAATTCTTAATTAAACACTTCTACAGTTTTTGCTCCAAAATAGATTTCCATCATAGTCCAAAATGTGTTCTCCAGAACAATTATTGCTAAACTTTTATAAAGTGCTAAATAAGTGGCTCCAATTTTTCAAAACTCTAGAAAACACTTGACCTTTCGGACTATCCTACAATTAGCTTTTACTATCTTATTAGTTTCTACATATAAAGGTTTTGAGGTTATTAAATGATTTTTAAACTGCAGTAAAGTTATTATTTAAGGCCTACCATCTTTTTTATTCTAATTAATTTTAGAGGATCACAATATTCTACCTTTGCTCCTGTATTGTTTCTTATCTACAATAACGATCTTCATAAAATCTACATAGATGATTATTTGACTTTCTGAAAATCACGGAAATTTTTTTGCTATGAAAACCCCAGAAAATCCTGGAAAATTATTTAATTAAAAATTGATTGTTTTACAGGGTTATTTGAATGAATAGAAAAGCAAAAAAAAAAGTACGAAAATAGATCTCGTAAAAATTTTAATTATAGAAAACATTTGTTTGAATGCAAAAGTTGATGTGTTTAAAATTTTATGTAAAATAATATAAATTTTTTTTTTAAATTAATAACAAAAAACATCCGGAAATTTCTGGAAAACTAAAAGTGAATTTCCGGAATTCCGGGAATTCCTGGAAAAAACTTATCTATGAATCTAAAGTGGCTTTATTTCCTGATGACTCAACTTAATACTCTTCTCTTGACAAAAAGTCTTCACTTTTTTCAATAACAGACTAAAGCTTGCAGTGGCTTGTAGATTTTAAGTCTGGATTTAAAATCTACAACTTTTGTTAGACAATAAAACTCATTTATTAACTTCAAAAAAAATATTGCAATATTGTTTGCATTCCTATATTGATAAATAACAACCTTCTTACCCTCAGACAAAGCCTAAAAGCACATTGTAAATGTAATTAGACCTGCTTTATCTCCCAAGCTTGAGCCATTCTTCCATTGTTGTAAGGTTGCATTTCTTTCTTTTTTCTACAAATACAATCATGGTCAATACATGTTTTTCATGTTTTTCTTTTATATACAACCTACAACTTTTTAAGTTTTAAGTTGACCATTTCCTAGTATTTTTACTTATTCTCTATTTTAAAGTAATTCATAACTTAATTGTGGTTGCTAGCAATCTTGTTGGAAGTAAATTAGATTTTGAAAATATATAAATTTATGCCATTATTTAATAAATAGTAAATGTAAGCATAAAATTACAATATATAAAGTATTATAAATTTTTTTCAAACCCCGGCTATCAACCCCTGCTAATTTTATAGTTTAGCTGGGGCCAGGTTTGAAAAAAGTTTTGAGCCGGGGCCCCAATCACTTACTATTATGTGTAGTTATAAATACAACATAAAATAGGGTATATACATGAAATTACTCTATATAAGGAACAATTTGTAACAATTACTAGTGAAAATGC